GGATAGCTACGGTCGGTTTAAGTAAAAGCTAAAAAATAGTAAAAGACCATATTAACAATAAATTTAAACATTAAAACCTAAATCGCCTGTTACTGCTGCCCAGTTTATAATTTTTTACTCAACCATGGCTTGAATTAAAGGTATTTTCAAGCACATTCGATTGATTATAGAGTTAAGACTGTTATTTTACTCGGATTCAAGCTACAGTTGAAAGAGTAAAATAACTTGTTTTTAAAGCTGTTGCGTTCTTACGGCTATCGCTCTCAACAAGGTAAGAATTTGAAGGTGCTACAGGTCTATTTGGGTGATAAAGACAAAGACAAAGAGAGAGATCCTAGTTGGAGCTTATTTATTGCTGCTGGACGGTGGACTCGACAAAAATATTGGCGTAACTTTTGGTACCGCGGAAAGTAAAAAATAAAAGGAGAATTCCTTATGCATAAACACTTACACTTTTTACTAATGTCCTAATGAAAATGGCCTCACCTATGAACGATCTCTACTTGAAATTTGTTGGCTGCTTTAATATACATGGAAAACATGTTTTTATTACGATTTTGGCCACCGCAACTATCTATGTAAGATTATATTTCTTTTGTTCCTCTTTCTGCCTTTAATTTTATGAATTTATAAACGAACGATGCAATTTCGTTTGATCCTCTATTGCTAATTGTTTCATTCCAGAGGCGGCTGTGACTAATATTATTACCCAGCTTAAAAATAGTAAAATTCCACACACTTAGCTTCGACATATAATATACAATGGAGATGTCAAATTTAGGGGTGCTCAGAATTTTCAGCAGGTCAAAATTAGCGCAACATATAGTACTATCTTGTGTGGCAGCAATTTTGTCGGCTGCCATTAATGAGCGCACTTCATCCTTATTTTGAATGAGAATCGTAAGCTGTTTGTCCTTTCAACTGTTCATTTGGTGACAGGTTCTAAAAAGATTTACATCCATCACACCTTTAAAAAGATTCATTATAATTTTATTTTTTTTTTACAAAAACTTTTAGATCGTTTCAACCCCCTAGACCAAGAACATGATGCAAAATATGTAAGACAAATAATATTACATTTTTAAAATCTGAAACAACATGATCATTTTAATCAGGCAACAAAAAAAATTAACTTCTAAAAATTTTTGACATAAAATATGTTCCTTAGGGTTCAGAAGAAGAATCATGAATTAAATAAAAAATTATGTAAAAAAAGACGTATATAATTTTCTAAAGATGAGATTTTGACATCCAAAAAAGAGATCAAAATTAAAGCTTATGTCCAAAGCTGTATTCTCCTTTCTAAAAATCCTCTGTATACGACTAAGTAAGGGTGGAAAATTCAACAAAATTGGAGAGTAAAGCATT